ATTGGATCAGAGGCCAGAGACGAAACGATACGATACGATACGATACGATACGACACGAGACGACAACACCAAAAACAAAAGTCACAAAACAGCAACACTGTTGGCAATTTGGAACTGGACTAAAAACGGACTTGAAAGAAACCACCAACCAACCAACAACAGCAGCAGCAGCAGCAGGCAGTAGCAACAACCATTGGACTGACTACCAACAACAGACTGGTATTTCCCTCTCTGGGGCTTGTTATGAATTTGTTGCTGTGGCCGTGTCTTTCATTATAAAAAATGAATATACATTTTGTATATGCCTGCGTCTCGCATATATGTAGATGTAGGTACGAGTATATGGAGGCTATATCTTTTCAAAAATTACTGAAGGTCAGTCAAACCCGAGTGTACAATCAACTTTTTAATATTTCATTTAAAATCTATATAAATGGGGCTCTTTTATGGGATGCATCCCAGAGTTGAAGTTTGCGTTTGCGTTGCGTTCTGGTTTGCGTTTTCCAGTAAAAGGCTCAAATTCAATTGAAACAAATTGCCATGGCTCTGGCGCTCGCTATGCACTTATTACTCTTACTCGTAGTAGTAGTGATTGCTAATTGAACTTCCGCAGAATTCTGTGGACGCGTTGGCAGAACGTCATCAGTGAATGGCCATCACCTTGCCGCCTTGTGCCGCGTGGCTTTACTATGTCGTAGTTTCCGGTGTGTTCCGGTGTCTGTTGCTGCTATTTCAATTTACCTGGGGTATTACAATTTTCACAGATCTCTTCTCTTTCGACTACAGTCCACATACAAGTAGGAAATATCAGGATATAGCTATCGGGAATTCAAGTTGAGCTAAGTCCGCTTGTGGCGGGGTGGTTGAGAGAGTGCACCAAAAACCCAAAGCCCATACATAAACCGAAAATCCAAACCCAACCCACAACGAACCATAAAAACCTCAAAGCGGTGCATGTGAGAAAGGAAAGATACGAAAATTATATAAACATTATAGGCGAGAGCGTGAGTACGACTAAAGTAACCGCAACACAACAAGTACTACAACAAGACCAGAGTTACAACCACAACGACACACTACAACGATATGTAACAAGAAGCAGGCTGGTTGTTGGCAGAGACACAAACCAAACCAAACCACGAATACCAAGACCAGACCAGGGCTCTCTCGGGGTGTGCTGGCTGTCAACTACTTTTGCTTTTGTTGTGCCTCTGCCCGTCTCTTGGGTTGGTAATTTTAATGTTGGTTGTTTTTTTTCGGTTTTATTTTCTCGTTTCTCAGCTCCGCGAGACGAGAAACTATGCCAAAGTTAACGACGGATTACAATAATCAAAATACATACGGGCGCACACACACATACACACACAAACACACATACGCATACAGTGTCAGTAAAGTGGTGGCAATGGCGTTCGCTGGCAACAATTATGCACCTAGTTGGCAATGCGCGCCGCTATGGCTAAGCCAGAGTGACAGCTTGCAGCACTAGCAACTAATTGGCTAATTAGACAACACTGGTAAAACAGACGATTTCGATTACATGTGCCAAAAAAATAGCTTCGATATCGAGATAGCTGGGGGGGACACACAACACCAAGTTCGACACAAATAAATTTATGTGCGGTGCCGCCTGCCGGGCCATAAAAGCTTTTCCACCCGTGCGCAGGGTGCGCACACACCCAGAAATAGAAAATAGAATAGTTACCCATAAACCTATTTACGGTAACAATTTAACAAAAAAAAAAAATAAACAAAAAAAAAGAATTGTTATGACAAAAGCGGAACCACCGATAATTACAATTAAGTTAACCAATTAAAAACAAAAAGCACCCCACTGAGTGTTGTTCTTGTGTGTGTAGCGAGAGACAAGAGCGAAAGAGGTGGTCCGAGAAACGGAAACCACAATGGAGGCGGCAACTGATACGAACGGCATTTGCCATAAGACCATTTATATTTTTTGGCATTTTGGCTTGGTACGCGCCATGCTCAAATGCGTAAACATTTACATATGCAAAAATTAATGACCTTCACTTTCGCCTCCCCCACCCTCCGCCTGCCTGGCCGAGTCCCATTGATATGCAGATGGTGTGTCCAGAAAGAGACCATCTCCGAGCGAGCCATAGCAACAAAGCACAGTAACATGTATACTTCTCAATAATATCGGTAAAAGCGATCTCACAAATAATTAAAATCGATTTAGATGAATGTTTCGCAACTTCCAAAATATCAATTGATGTCTGAACTTTGTCACAATGTGCATGCGAAGGTGGTTTCAGTGGGATGCGAGCGACGCACAACAACAACAACATTAAAGCGAACAAAACTGAAACACGGCCTGGCCTGGCCTTCCATCTCTACCGCTGCTCGTGATCGAGCAACAGCACAATTACTGTAAATAGGTAGAAAAAAGACAGCACACACAACAAGCAGTTGCACAAATATTAAAAAAAAAGCACACATAGAAACAGGAACAGACATAGATAGACACACGCAAAAGGTATTACAGTAATCAATGTCAAATGCTACCGATTTCATTTGTGTGCGCAAAACAACAAAAAATATGCCCGATTTCATAGTTGTGGTAGTACGGCCACACCAACACCAAACCAGCTAGTTTTAAAAGAGCGAAAAAAACGCGTCAAATGTCAAAATGAAAAGAACAGCATACATACGCATATGTATGTATGTATGTATGAATATGTATAATAGCCCCATCATTAAAATGATTGTTCAATTTGAGAGAACGATTTCCAAGCGAAAATAATATTTACATTTCTTATTTGAGCTTCGTATAGTTTTTGTAGACTTTAAGAGCAAGTAAACTTTTTGAAATGCCAGCACACAAACACACATACACCCAAGCATTTGGACACACACATGCGGATATAAAAAGGCACCACTTGTTGTTGGCATGATTAAATGCAATGCGTGCGAGTGTGACGGCACGTTGTAGTTTCGTGCTCGCGTTCGTTCGCAAAAGCAAGGTAAGATCGAGACACCAACAGCGAAGTAGCTCTCATACACACAGACACAATATACTTTCACTTCTTGTATTGAATTTTATTTCTGTTGGCGCCACGTTGTTGTTGTTTCATATAAATTTTGAGTCAGATATCTACCTATGTTCATATATGCCAGTGGATATTTATTTATATTTGCCTCGGCAACAGGCGAATGAATTAATAGGTGGCTAGAAAACCTTTTGTGTTCATCTTTATTACGAGAAAATCCCATAAACGGCAAACAGTTTGAGCGGAAGGTCCCAAGTCCCTAGCGATGCGAGCCCATCTACGCAAGTCCAGGGCGCAGCGTACGTAAGCAGCAATCTCCTAATACGTCATAGAAGCTCTCTACCTCCCCTCCTCCTCAGCCCACTATAGTTCCCTTGCATTACTGCATAAAATAGTGGCACTCGACCACACACATACACTAACACTAGCACCTACACCTACAGAGAGCAAGTTCGCCCGCGATCTCTCTTCCTCTCTCGCACCAATTGTATTTCCATCTCACTGGCTGTTGTTTTTGTGCAATTTATGCAATGTCGCATTACTTGATTGTTTACTTATAAGAGACAATGACTAACCATAAATTATGAAAAATAAATTGCGGTTTGTTTGTTTGTTTGTCATTCGTGTAGGGGTGCAAAAATAAACACTTTCATCATCTTGTTAACACATGCTTTCTGAATATTTTATTAAATATAGGTTAAAAATGAATCAAAAACCGGCAATGGGTGAGAATTGGTTCAAACGAAGCGCTCGAATGTTGGTGAAATCAAAGAGAAGTCAGTCTTGGATTGGATTTCTTTGGAATGCTGAAGTTGCGAAATGAGAGCCGACGCGAAACGGCGAGACGTCAAGAGACAGACAGACCAGACCAACGCGAGCAAGTGGGCCAGCTAGTCAGGCAGGCGGGGGAATGGGCAAGGGGAGGGAAAGAGAGCTCTCTAACGTCACAAATGGGGAGGCGAGGCGGCTACATCATCATCCATTTATTTTCTATATACATATGTATGTACATAAATCGATGTTACTTACCGGGCGGGTAAACAAACAACCGTACAAGGATAACGCCACTACAGCAGAAAATCTAATTAGAACGAGCGACTCACAACAACCACAGCAACGAACAAAAAATTGTATGTTAAAATTAGACGCACACCTCTGCTCTTCTCCCGCTCCCTCCCACGTACGTTCTTGTTCTAGGATAACTTCTACAATCACACCCGCCCCCACACACATACAGATGAACATAGACACACGCCCACAATGCAACAGCGTCGAGAATGAGAATCAAAAAATGGGGGCAGGGACAGGCTGAGGGCAGGCAGCAGCAGTAGCAGTAGCAACAGACAACGGGAACAGCTGCGAGCGAATTAACATAAATTGTATGCAAAATTGGGGTTGATAATATTGTTGTTACATGGCGGCGGCGACATATTGTTTATTGGTTTTCTGCTACATTCCAGCAATTTCCTTGCCAGGCACTCTCCCTCTCTCTCTCTTTCTCTCTCTCTCTACTATTTCTGTCTTCTTTCCTTTTTCAATGCTGCTTCTTACTTGTGTGTTGGCATATTTTGGTTAAGTGGTTTTTTTGTGTATTTCGTACGGTAGCGGCACTTTTTTGAAAGTTGATTTTACTATTTCATTTGTATCATTATTTAAAAATGTAATTGAAACGCGCAAAATACGTTTTCGATAGTATTTTTTTTTTTAGTTTTGTCAAGAGTCGGGTTGGGGCGACGGCAGACGGCGACGTTAGCTGGAGCGCGCGTGCATAACACGCACACATACAGACACATACACAAAGTGGAGAAATCAATCAAGAGTGAACAGAGCACAGCCGGAAGGGGGAAGGGGAAGCACCGTGTGGAGTGGAAGGAAAATCACATATGTATATTCAGCAATGTAAATGCGACAAAATTTTCACGCATCTTTGTTTCGTTCCGTTTCGAGCCATATGCATTATATTTTTTCTCGCTTCTTTTTCTTTCTTACACAATATTTCTGATAATTTTCAGATTTTTGCACTCACTACTAAATTATATTACGCACTGGATTTCTCGGTTAACACTTAATTGAGCCGCTTGCAAACGATGCTGTTACGAATAATGCACGTACTTCCCTTAAACTACAATTCTCTTTATAATTAATAGTGTAATCTGGTTTAACAAAAAATTCAGAAAATCACGTCATGGCTGCCACGTCCAAGCAACAATGAAATGAATGTAAGTGGTGGCTCTGAATTGCGGGATTTTCGGATTTTGGGCGTTTTAAAATACGGTCCCATTGTTATCGCAACACGGTTACACTGCGACTGGTATTGCTTCCGTTTTCGCATGCGGTCATACTGCGAGTTTTTCAACTCGACATTTTAATGCACGTTTAATAGCCGAAATCGTCCCCTATTTAATATATGGCCCCCAAATTAATATATGGTGCAGATGGGAAAAAGTCACACCTGATTTTTTGCACCTAATAAATGTTTTACACGCCGATAGACCAAAACAAGCGCGCAGAACAGATGTTTTGGTGTGCGAGCGGGACGGCTATACGTGTCTTGCATTCGCGAAACAAGAGAATACAAAAATGCAATAATAAACTTGTGTAGAATGGAGGAGGCGCAAAATCGAAGAAAAACGCGCCACACACATAAAATATTTCACAAGATTTGTAACAATTTAACATAAATACGTTCGGTTGAGCGCTCCGAACCACATTTTTCTTATTGGCAATTTCGACCATAACAAACAATAATAATAAAAGGGGCATGGGGGTGTACGCAACGCACGCTGCGCGGCATCGCGGCTCTTGAACATGACCACGGTTCTGCTCTCGCATTCTGGGCAGCCAGAAATTTTCAACTCAACAAATGTAGACTAAAACAATGCACTTACCCTGAAAATTATCGTCATTCTCTTCCTCCGATGCCATGCTTGCTGCTAAATGCAACTTTTACACTATTTAACCACACGAAAATCGCTTAATTTCCACAACAAATATTTGAGCACACACAGACACGACGAGAAAAAAATAGACAAGTTGTAAGCGGCTTCAACAAATATGGCGGAGCGGAGAGCGAACAAAAAAACTGAGAGACGACACACAGGGCTGCCCTCGATAAATTTCCATCGATGATTGGCGATGGTTGGCGCCCATTCCTTATAGTGTTATAGATTGCTGCAACATCCACAGATTCTGAAAATAATAATAAATAAAAAATAAATATAAATAAACGCAATAGCTCAACAGACTTAATCCGGTTTGTTTTACATTAATCTTTGAATCAAAAAACAAACATCGCAAGCATCGATGTGCCTGTAGCTCTAAAAGCAGCCCTGCGCTACGATGCCAACAACCCCGTCTCAATCATTCTTTGCTCGATAAAAAATTTTCACCCAAAACGTTGTGTGAGACGAATTGCGTGTTTTCTCGTAGCTTTGTGGACTTAATACCAATAAAACACAAGAGGAATGTGCAAAGTTCTTGGTAAATAACTTTTACTTTTTAGTCAGACCAATTTAATTGCGAATTATGTCGTCCATTATAACGCGCAAGGATGGCGACAGCGACGAACAGAAATTGGCGAAAAAGCGCGCTGCCGCGTCGGGAGCCGTGCCCGGGGCCGACGGCGTCGAAGCACCAAAGAAATCTCGCTTCGATGTCAAGGAGAAAAACGGCGATGAGCTGCTTCCGACCATTACAGCCGCCTCTTCGCTGAGCTCCACGCAAATCAAGCTGATGATGGCGCATGCCCAGCGCGAAATCGAGGAGAGGAAACGAGCCTTGAGCAACCTGCGGGACAAGGATCCCCTGCTGGCGTCTGTCCCCTCGATTGGAATGCCCGTTGCCCTTGCAACACAGGCGCTATCGAAGAAGCCGACGCCCGAGGATGCAGACAAGGCCAGAAAGATCGCGGAGCTGCAGGCCCAGATACGTGCCAAGCTAACGGGCAATCTGGCCAACCTCATACAGCCCACAGCTGCGGCAGCTGCCGCTGCAGCGGCTGCCCAACAACAGGAGCGTCCCAAACCCCTCATACTGGATGATGAGGGACGCACCGTGGACAAGAGCGGTCGGGCCATTAACATACCCACAGTTACGCCCACCCTCAAGGCCAATATACGGGCCAAGAAACGCGAAGTGTTCCAGCGTCAGGCGGGGCCCAGCGAGCGAAGCGGTGAGGCAACCGGTTCCACCCAGGACGATGCCATCAAGTACTTTGACGACCGCATCGCTCTCAAGCCGACGGTGCGGAACAAGCGAACGTTGCGCTTTCACGAACCCGGCAAGTTCCAGCAGCTGGCCGAGCGGATGCGCATGAAGAGCCAGCTGGAGCGGCTGCAGAACGAAATATCGCAGATAGCCAGGAAGACGGGCATCTCGTCGGCGACAAAGCTGGCGCTGATTGCCCCCAAGCAGGACATGCCCGATGATGTGCCGGCCATGGAGTGGTGGGACTCTGTTATCCTGACACAGGATATGCAGACGCTTGACGAGGGAAGCGGTAAGATAAGCATACGCCAGACAGCCATCAGCAACCTCATCGAGCATCCCACTCAAATGAAGCCGCCAAGTACGTTACAAATGCTCACTTCCATTGCCTTGCCATAAATACAATTGATAATGTTCCGCGTTTACAGATGAGCCGCTGAAGCCGGTCTATTTGCCCGTATTCCTCACCAAGAAGGAGCGCAAGAAGCTGCGCCGACAGAATCGTCGCGAGGCCTGGAAGGAGGAACAGGAGAAGATACGCCTCGGACTGGTGGCACCACCCGAGCCCAAGTTGCGCATTTCGAATCTGATGCGGGTGCTCGGCTCGGATGCCGTACAGGACCCCACCAAAATGGAGCAGCATGTGCGCGAGCAGATGGCCAAGCGGCAGAAGGCGCATGAGGATGCCAACAATGCCAGGAAGCTGACCAGCGAGCAGAAGAGCGAGAAGAAGCAGCGCAAGCTGAAGGAGGACACCAGCTGCGGTGTCCATGTGAGCGTCTATCGCATACGCGACCTCCAGGACAACCAGAGCAAGAAGTTCAAGGTGGAGACGAATGCCAAACAGCTGCAGATGACGGGAACTGTGGCCCTCTTCCGCGACTGCTGTGTCGTGGTGGTCGAGGGCGGTCCCAAGCAGCAGAAAAAGTACCGCCGCCTCATGCTGACGCGCATCAAGTGGGACGAGGATCTGGCCAAGGGCAACGATGGCCAGGATGTGCCCAACTCGTGTGTGTTGGTCTGGGAGGGCACCAGCCAGCGTCGTCACTTTGGCGAGATCAAATTCAAGATCTTTCCCATGGAGAAAATGGCCCGCGAATTCTTTCAGAAGCACCAAGTGGAGCACTACTGGGATCTGGCCTACTCCGGTGCCGTGCTGGAGGCCTCCACGGATCAGCAGTAAGACAAAGTCACGTTTCAAAGCATTTTGGCCTATTTTTAGCTTGAAAAGTAAACATTTGAATTTGGATAATAAGTTTTCCTTATCTTTTCTTATCTGTTGGGGAAACACTTTATTTATCTCTTGACAAATGGATCCTCCTTGATGTTGCTCTGGATAAACTCATCCAAACCCTGCTGCTTGAGGCGCTCAATGATCTCCGCCAGGCGCTGATCTTCCAGGGCGCTCTCGGCCTTCTCGCGTACATCGAGTTCGTGCTGCTCCTTGACGCGCGTCGTTAGTACGCGGCGTATTATCTGACGTAGCGACTTGTTAATGGTCAGGGTGTAGTCGAGCAGTTTCACGTAAGTGCCAGAACTGAGATAGCCACCCTGCTGGCACTGGGCCACCTGCTCAAAGGTGTCCATGCTGGCCGTGGTGATCAGGCCGTGCTCTTGGATGGCGGCCGTGGGACTGCTGCAGTCGCTGCCTGCCAGCGCGTGTCCTCCCCGATGCTTGCGCAGCAGCTCCTCCTCCTTGGCACTCGGATTGAGAAACACATTGTCGCGATAAATGCATGCCGTGGAGGCTGTGATCAGGTCAAAGGTGGAGATGCCGCACTCGACCAGCGCCACGCCGCAGCAGTTGATGGCCGTGCTGAGCAGGCAGCCGTCGTCGTCCAGTATCAGCACTCGGATGTCCAGCTGGAAGTTGAGGAACTCTGTCCGGCAGACAACTGGCTCCAGCGCCTTGGTCAACATGCTGCCCAGATGCTTTTCGCGCTCCGGCACCGACTCCAGCTCCCCGGTGGCAAAGGCCGCAAAGTTTACAAAGCAATTGATGACGCCCATGTTCATGCGGCGGGCACTGGCGCGCATCAGCTCGTGTGGAGGCGCCACAATGGCCAGGACTTTTGTGTTGCCATACTCCATATAAGCGGAGCCCCGCACCGTTGTCAGAACTCCAGCGCGCACAACTGCATGAAAAGGGATGGTCAATGACTGCTGCTACTACTACTATACTTAATGTTCAAGTAGACACTAACATGTTGAACGTGGGATTAGTTTTGTTGGGTTCTTGCCCGGCAACTCGAGGCTCTCGAAGCCCTCTTCGCAGTCCTTTGGCGTTGTGTATAGATCTTCTGCTATGGTGGCCCCATCCAGCAGGGTATTTTTCGTTTGTGTTACCCTCAACATCGTTCTTGGATTTGATTGCAAATATGTATTTCAATTAATAACAATTATTTGGAAACGAAACGTGTTTGAAATCAGTGTGTTAGTGCTAAAAAACTCTTGTAGGCAAACTCGATTTTGTTGTTGCCCAACACTGAATGATATCATTCGTTCACATTCCGGTACACACTTATGTTTTATGCTTTGGCCTTTTTGGTTTGTACCTTATTATGTAAACAGTCCAATAAAAATATGTTCTGAAAACTAGCCAATCTTGTACAAAATTTAATGATGAATTTGATAAAATTATTTGTTTATGGCTGAGAGCGCTAACTAGATAGTAATATTAAACCGAAGATGAAAATTGAGGATATAAGTCGTAGTGTCCGTCAGTATATTTACGGTATCTTATGACTACGAGAAGGTATATTTTTGAGGGCCAGGCGGTATATGTTGTCGATATATTTGCGGTCACACTGACCAAAAAGCGCTGTGTAATTCTGCTGAGAAACAAGAAAAAGAAAAGCAACGAAAAAGTGAACGCCGCATTTACAGTAAAATCTCAAATTAATTAAAGTTTTCAAACGAAAATCGTAGCAATATTCGTAGTTGAAACATGACGGGTGAGACCAAGCAGGAGAAGAAGCAGCCGGCGGTTGTCGATCTCAAGGATTTGAAGGCGAAGCAGGGAGAGTCTGGCGATGACAAGGCAAAGAAGGACGACAAAGAGCAGCCCGAGCTGTCCGACGAGGATCAGCAGCTGCAGGAGGAGCTGGAGATGCTCGTGCTGCGTCTGCAGGAGAGCGACAAGAAATTGTACCAGCCAGCGCTGGAAATGATGGCCAAGCTGATACGTGCGTCGACCACATCGATGACTTCGGTGCCCAAGCCCCTGAAGTTCATGCGTCCCCACTACGAGACCATGAAGACCGTCTACAAACAGATGCCCGACGAGCAGACGCGCCAGCTGTGCGCCGACATTATATCGGTGCTGTCGATGACGATGGGCAGTGGCAAGGATTGTCTGGCCTACAGGTTCCTGTGCGATCGCAAGCAAAAGATCGGCGAGTGGGGCCACGAGTATGTGCGTCATCTGTCGGGCGAGATATCCGCCCACTATCACGACACCACGGGCGACTTCCGCACCCAGCTGATTGAACTGGTCAAGCAGATAATTCCCTACAATATGGAGCACAATGCTGAGGCGGATGCCTGTGACTTGCTGATCGAAATCGATCATCTGCATCTGCTCAGCGAGTATGTGGACGAGTCGGCCTATCCCCGTGTCTGTCTGTACCTGCAGTCCTGTTATCCGTATGTGCCCGAGCCGGACAACACCATCATACTGGAGACGGCCCTGCAGCTGTCGCGCAAGTTCGCGCAACATACGCAGGCCATGAGGCTGGCACTGATGCTGAATGACATGGACAAGATTGGGGAGATCTTCAAGGAGCCCAAGGAGCCGGGCATGCAGAAACAGTTGGCCTTCATGCTCGCCCGCCAGCAGATCTGCCTGGAGCTGGACGAATCGGTGCCGGACTACGATGACCTCATGGAGATCATGTCGAATGCGAATCTGAACAAGCACTTCCTCAATCTGGCCCGCGAGCTGGACATCATGGAGCCCAAGACACCGGAGGATATTTACAAGTCGCATCTGGACAACTCGCGTTCGCGTTTCGCCTCCATACAGGTGGACTCGGCCAAGCAGAATCTGGCCGCCAGCTTTGTCAATGGCTTCGTCAATGCGGGCTTCGGTGTGGACAAGCTGCTGTCCGAGGATGGCAACAAGTGGCTGTACAAGAACAAGGAGCACGGCATGCTCTCGGCCACCGCCTCGCTGGGTCTGATCCTGCTCTGGGATGTCGATGGCGGCCTAACCATGATCGACAAGTATCTGTATTCCACGGATGACAACATCAAGTCGGGTGCCCTGCTGGCCTGCGGCATCGTCAATTGCGGCATTCGCAACGAGGTCGATCCGGCCCATGCCCTGCTCTCCGATTACATTGAGAACCAGAACAATTGCATGCGTGTGGGCGCTATCCTCGGCCTGGGCATCGCCTATGCCGGCTCCAATCGCTCCATTGTGATCGACACCCTCAAGACGGTCTTCTCGTTTGGCAGCAATAAGACCTCCGCCAGCGTGGAGATACTCGGCATTACGGCTCTGTCGCTGGGTCTCATCAGTGTGGGCTCCTGCAATGCAGAGATCACCGAGATCCTGCTGCAGACCATCATGGGGCTGACCAAGTCCGACCTGAAGGATACCTACACGAGATTCCTGTTCTTGGGCCTGGGTCTACTCTATTTGGGTCGTCAAAAGTCCACCGAAGCGGTGATGATGACGCTGGAGGTTCTGGAGGAGCCCTACCGCAGCATGGCCACCACTATGGTGGATATTTGTGCCTACGCTGGTACTGGCAATGTCCTGAAGATCCAGCAGCTGCTGCACATCTGCTCCGACCACTATGAGACCGTTAGCGCGGATGATGAGAAAGAGAAGAGCAAGAAGGACAAGTCCAAGGATAAGGTATAGCATCCGCATCCATTCATTCCTCCATTCGTTTGTAAACTAATTCCAACTATTTTTGTTGTGTGTTATTTCCATTTTAGCAAGACAAAGAAAAGGAGAAGGAAAAAGAGAAGGAGCGCGAAAAGGATTTGTCGGCTACACAGTCGATTGCCGTCCTGGGCATTGCCTTGATTGCCATGGGTGAGGACATTGGCGCCGAGATGGCCTACCGCTCCTTCGGTAATCTGTTGCGCTACTGCGAGCCGGCCATTAGACGGTCTGTGCCTTTGGCCCTTGGCCTGATATCCGCCTCCAATCCCAAGCTGAACATCCTGGACACGCTGAGCAAGTTCTCGCACGACAGCGATGCTGAGGTGGCACACAATGCCATTTTTGCCATGGGTCTTGTTGGAGCCGGCACCAACAATGCCCGTTTGGCCTCCATGCTCCGCCAGCTGGCCCAGTATCACTCGAAGGATCCCAGCAATCTGTTCATGGTGCGCATTGCCCAGAGTCTGACGCATTTGGGCAAGGGCACTCTCTCGCTGAGTCCCTACCACAGCGATCGCCAGCTGATGAATCCGATGGCCGTTGCCGGCCTGATGGCCACGCTGGTGTCTCTGCTGGATGTGAAGAACCTGATCCTCAATCGCTCGCACTATCTGCTGTACACGTTGGTTCCGGCCATGCAGGCCCGCATGCTGATCACCTTCGACGAGGAGCTCAACCAGCTGCAGGTGCCCGTTCGCGTGGGCATCGCCATCGATGTGGTCGGACAGGCTGGAAAGCCAAAGACCATCACCGGCTTCCAGACGCACACAACGCCCGTACTGCTGGCCATCGGCGAGCGTGCCGAGCTGGCCACCGACGAGTATCTGGCCCTGACGCCGGTAATGGAGGGATTTGTCATACTGAAAAAGAATCCCAATTTTGTCAAATAGAACGATTCAATCATCGATCATCGGATCATCGAATCATCTATTAGTTAAGGTCTGGCGAGAAACTGAAGGCTCTGCAACGTAACAGTAACACACACCCAACAATATACAAAACTTGTTCTCTTTCCGGCAATTGATTTCAAATGTCATTAATAAAAATTATATCTACTTATAAAAACATCTCCGGTTTTGTCTTAAAACCTTTCCCCAGACAAGGTATAGGAATCCGCTGAGGCTCAGAGTCCATTTGGACATAGCTATAGATTGAGTTTCGACTTGTAAAACTAATTAAGGAGAGGACAGATATTAAAGCTTGTTAAGAGCTTGTTAAGTTCCTAAACTGATCTAAAGGTGTTAAAAGTCCAGCATCTAAATAGCAAATACGAATACAAAGCGGTCGAGCTACTTTATAGGAACTGTGATCGTAATACACTTACACCTTTTCTTGGTTTCTGCAGCGAGCAAGGACATGTAAAAGCATATCCATACCCCAGCCTGCATTTTTATTTCAGCCACACATTAATGGTTGCTTTCTCTGTTTGTGTGTTTTTGTGTTGGGGGGGTTTTGAAGTGATTTTTATTCATGTACGGATGTGTGTATAGTAAATGTAATCGTATGTTTAGGTGTATGATATAGCGTTTGGGCGTTTCAGTAGTTTTGGAATTGCTTGCATGAAAAACGCACTATGTATTTGCTTTAAAAATAGACTCGCGCTTATTGCCGTAAATATATATTTTTGCATATACTCTTTGCTAATTACAATTGATCAATTTTTGTTTCGTTTTCATACAATTAGAAGCTGATTTACAATTTTGTCACACAGCGGCGGCAGCAGCCTTTCTCTTAGGTCTACTAATGATTCATTAAATTATTCAATTTATTTTTGAATGGTGGTTGCCCTCAGCCCTGTGTATACGTATGTATGTTTGTATGTCACTGTGGTGTATTTAAGTAATTGCCACAATAGACAATAATAAATTATGAATTAAGCATTATTATCAGATCATTGTCGCGTGTCCTTTTTATCCTTTCAATAGTGTATGCAAAATGATATGCTGCCAAGACTCAAACCAAAATTGCTTCCATTTCAGTTAGGACTGACTGGACTTGTAACATTAAGCTTAGGTTCGTAGTCAAAGAAGGGTGTTTAATCTGAGCAAAGGCTTTACAAAAGTATCCAACATAAGGCATTGATTACAATTTAAAAAAACAACATAAAGAATAATAGCGATAATGATATAAAGAAGAAGAAGTTCCGGAGAACAGAACAGTGTGCCTGTCCAAAACAATATTACTATATATGTATATACTAATATGTGTGGTAAGCAATACGTTGCGTTAATTTTGGGCTGGCGATGTGGTTGTGGTGGTGGTGGAGGAGCAGCAGCAGCAGCAGCGCCTTCCCTTGCGTCAGCGTCTCTCGTATTTGGCCACTGGCACTGAAAGCCTGGTACGCACTCCTGCTCCTGCTGCACCTGATGGTGATGGCGATGCTGCGGCTGCGGCTGCTGCTGCTGCTGCTGCTCCTATGGATGATGACTTGGTGGTACGCTCTGTGGTCGAACGTGATCGCGCAAGTAAGCGTTTCTTGCTGTTGCTGTTTGTTGCTGGCAGTGTTTGGTGGTTACTATTATTATTGCTTTTGTTGCGACTCGCTCCAGTCTCTCCTGCTGCTGCTGCTCCTCCTCCTCTGGCGCTGCTGCTGCTGCCTTCGCTGTACCGCTGACGCTTGCTCTGCGCTGTATTATCTGCAGGTGGTGTTTGTATTTTTTTTTTTTTGGATTTGTGTGATGAGAAATGTTGGTTAATTAATTGTCTGGTCTGGTCAGGTCAGGTAATTGTAATTGTAATTACTACAAATTGCCCGCACAGTCATCAATATCAACTGGCAGTGCAATTCCATTGATATCGATATCAATTTCAATTTCAACATCAACATCAACATCAGCATCATCTTCATCATCCTCCTCATCATTATCCTCATATTCATCTTCAATACCCACATCGACCCACGCATTGGCATTGTGCTGAGCAATCACATCGGGCGCATCATCCGCCGCCGCCGCTTGCTCCACATCTATCGGGCATGGTTCACATTGTGAGAGAGATAGCGAAAAATACATCCAAAACGCACAACAGAAACACAAAATAATAAAAAAAACAAAACAAAGAGAAAGAGAAACAATCGACGTGGACCGTCGTCGTTATATAAAAATTTTGGATAGAAATTTGGAATTTGTTCATTTGTTTTGTGAGAGCTCATGACACGATGGATGAATACATGGATGGATATATATATTATGGGTGGTGGGTATATGCTTCAGCTAGTGATTCCCCAACAATGCAATATGGAACATATGTACACATGTCACTCGTCACTCTTCTCTGCAGTGATAATGTTGCATTTTGAGTTCAAGCAAAATGACTATGAGGTCGAGATGAAAGGCCACATTCTCTGGATAACGGTAGTACTCACCTTTGGGGTTCAGTTTGCGCTTCGATTGGGTGGGAGCAGCAGCTGCTCCAGCTACAGCGCCAGCGCTCAGGCGGGTGCCGCTGCGTTTCAGGCCGGGATCGGAGCGCCGTTCCCGTGTGTTGGCCAGTGTGGCAAGCGGCTGATCGGCACTCTTTTTGGCCACATTCTTGCTGTTGTTGTGGTTGCCACCGGCAGATCCATTGTCCTGGCCGGCAGCTGCTGCAGCAGCAGCGGCCGCAGCAGCCGCAGCACTGGCTCGCTTCAGATGTGCCGGCATTCGCTTGGGCGGTTGCATAGCTGCATTCGTACTGCTGCTGCTGCTGCTGGCAGCCGCTGCTGCACTGTTTGCGGAGGTAGTTGGACTGTCTGTACTACTGGAGGACATCTTCTGTGGGGACTTGTGGGCCTTGAGGTCATCCTGCTTCTTGTGCATGCCCACCTCCATCCAGTACTTCAGCTGGGATTGGCGCTGGCTCTGCATTAGCTCCTGCCCGGCCGTATATTTGCTGAGCAGACCCTGCAGCTTCTGCACCGTCTTGTACACGTGCTCGTTCGAGATGAGGCCATAGTCGAAGAGGGAGCACATGTGCAGGATGAAGTTGCGATAGAGATTCTTGCGCACAATCTCATGGCCCTTGGCGTCGAGGAACATTTCGCAGGCCAAGGGCAACTGGCAGTTGCCAACGAATCCGTGTCGCATCACATGCAGATTCCATATCTTCATCAGCTCCTTCTCGCCCTCGTTCACGTCGGAGAACTCGTCAATCATCTGTATGGTCTTCTGGCGCAGCCACAGCGGATCACTCTCGCCCTCCGAGTCAATGTCCAGCTCCTTGGGATGCACGGGCAGACAGGTCTCCGTATGGTGGTACAGCCTTTAAGCAATTATTTCACGATTAGTTTGCCTGCAGCTCGCTGGGCGCTTCCTTACCTGTTGTGACCTGTGATATACGAACGCTGGTTGCTGATGTCATCCTCATCCAGCTCCAGGAACTCATCCAGGCTGGCCTTCTGCCTCCTGGGCCGGCACACCATAAGGCTGGTCACAGAAGTGCGTCGCACAGGGCCGCAGGTGCGGGCAAACGATGAGCCCGATGGCCCGGCAAGATCGTAGGGGGAACCCGCGTACGATCCATCGTACGCATCATTAATGGTGACATCGATGCGCGCACCACTGCCCGCTGGCTGGTAGGTGAAGTTGAACCGGGCATGGCACAGCTTCAGATGCTTCAGCAGGGCGTACAGACGCAGACAGTCCAGGCCGCACCAGGGGCAATTCAGCTCCTGCGTGTACTCTGTCTGCTGGCGCGTATTATTGCTGTACATGAAATTGTACACGATCTGGATGTGCTCGGGGGCCGTTGTCTTGCAAATGCCATTCTTTGGGCAGTTGTTGTTGTTATTGAAATGATTATTATTGTGATTGACCGCATCTGACACGGCATCCAGGTGATGAACATAGCGCTGGAGCTCTGTGGCCGATATTGTCTCTGGCAGCTGCTCGTTGGACAGCGTCAAATGGAATTTCAGCATGGGGCTCTGTTGGTAGACATCGTAGGTGAGCGAGAGTGGAATGTAGCTATCGGGCATCGTTTCCCACGTGCATTTCTTTGGTGAGAAGGACTTGATGCTCGATGAGTTTAACGGCTGGAGCATGGCCTCGTATTCGCCCTCGGTGATGAATCCATTCGACTTCTCATACAATATCAGCTCAGAGCCGTACATCTTCTCATTCGGACGCGACCGCTTGTTCGAGGGGGTTTCTATGGTGGTCAGAGAAAATAGGGTCGAAAGAATGACTCTCAGACAGATGTTTGTTGCTCTCACTCAATCCGTTTTTACCTGCATTCTCATCATTGCACGTGCTGACGGGCGACAGAACCTTGATCCTAAAGAGCAGCTTATACAGCGTATGCTGCTCACCCATCGGCCGCATCGCTTGCAGAGGTATGCTGATGGTGGCATGCTCGCCAATGCGATCCTTCGGATTGTACACAATCTGTGAACTCTTGCTGAGCAGCTCCTGAAAGTCCAGCGTGCTGTCCTTGCGCTTGCTCCGCGTGATCTTGTAGAGTGTGGTAACCACACAGACCGACTCACCGGCTTCGCAGAGCAGCTGCTCCTGCAGCAGCTCATCGCTGTCCGATGATTTGATATTCTCGTGCAGCGAATCGTAGATAACGTGCAGGTAGTTTTGTGTTACGGCTTCCGATTTTTGGATAATGCTCTCCAGCATTGAGTTGATCTGGAAGGTGGACCGCTTCTTGTTGTTGCGCGACATTCGCTCCTTCATATAGCAGAGCGTTCGATTCAGGAATATGGGCTGCAGCAGGGGAAAATACAAGAGAACATCATGTTTGAGTCGTGTGCCGTCTGAGGGATGTTATGATGGATGGATGGATGAATGGATGGTCGAACACTTACGTTTGTCTCATGGCGGTTGCGTAGATACCGATAGATTTGCGTGGGTTCTGAAAATCATCACCATTGACCATTATTTATTTGTTTGTCTGTGCTCCACTTCAAAATGCTTACTCACTTTCAAATGCTTGCAAAAAGAGTTCCTGCTCTTGTTGATGTCCATTGAGAGCCTTCCCGTGGGCCTCCGCCGCTGGCGTTCCCGTGGTCACCGCCGTCGTCGTTGGCGCTGCCAACGTAGCATTTGTTCCATCTGCTCCATTTCCATGGCCGTTCGATCCGTTAATGCCATTTGCCGCAGCGCCAGCGCCATCTGCATTGTCTTTCTCGCGTTTTTTCGCTGGGGCCATTGTGTGTTCGTTTGTGTGTCACGATGCGTGAACTGCCGAGGAGGATGGTGGATGGGATGGATGAAGGGGGAGGCTCTAATTGTTGGAAATGCAACCGCTGGGCGCACACACACACAGTATCCACGCACAGACTAACAATGCGCTTGCATTTCAGAACATATTCACATTTGTTTCGCCCATTTAGCATGAGTTTTTGTTTTTTTTCCGCGATGCTTTTCGTGTTTTTGCCGTTTCCCTTTTCGGCGCGAAACCTTTTGCTTTTGTCTCAGCGTTATTATAGGCGTTGTGTGACGATACGACCGCGTGTTGTATGACAAACTACATTTTGTTTTGCACTGCTACACACATTTCACACTTAATTCCATATTAGCAATTAATTAAATTTGTCCAGAAAAAATAGTTTAGTCCATGGCAAAAGGCAGTGCATCGAAATAAATATGAAAATAAACATAAAAGATATATCTCGATTCTGACTGATGGACGGTCGTATCGTGTATCCATCGTTGCCACCTAAATATGCTGAAAAACCCTCGAAAGTACTATCGATATAACCAATAGTTCGTCATCGATGTTAGGATGCTAGCCAACACTGCCATCCATATAATTTGTCTAATTTTAACAAACAAACTGTTTAATAAATGTAACCAAAACAATCACATTTCAGCTTTGTTTAACTTCAACTATTAAAAAACATTTTTCTATTATTTCTCAACAGCTGTTGGATTTTAGTGCAAAATACAGAAGATCTGGCAGCACCAATGCATAGATAGTTTGACGTCGGGAGGTATTAAAGGTATATTTCGGTATATTTCTGAGACGTCACGCTGGTTGGTGTGCCTCCTCTGCACATTTTTTTTGGAGCCTATAAAAATTATCAACAGTCGGAGCCGGCACAACTGTTTTTAAAGAGCCAAATATCTCAATAAACCCTACACACAACACAATGAATATGGACAAGAACAGTGCAGCGTTGTACAAAAAGATGCAGACCGAGGTTGAGTCATATCAAAATCTTCAGAAGTGTATGTAAATGGAAACACACATTTCCGTCCAAATTTAATAATACATACCATCTGTTTGTTTCATACAGCCTGCGTAAAGATGGTCAAACAGCGCGCACTGCTGGAGAGTCAGCTAAATGAGAACAAGTGCGTTTTGGACGAACTGAATCTGCTGGGACCAGACAACAAGGTCTACAAACTGTTTGGCCCCGTGCTGGTGAAGCAGGAGCTGGAGGATTCACGTCAGAATGTGGGCAAACGCATTGAGTACATCTCCAAAGAACTCAAGAGCTCCACCGACACCCTGGAGAACATGTAAGAGAGCACCAGAGTCCGGCGAGAGTTTTTTTTTATATGACAATTTTAATTTACAGGGAAAAGGATATGCTGAAACATCGGGAGGCTGTGGGCAAGTACCAACAGCAATGGCAGGTGGCGGCGGCAATGAAGTGAAGGCCCTCAGGATTACAATTAAGACCTAATTTATAATTGCTTTGTAGATGTTTCAGAGCATGAACAACACCAGCATCATCTTGAAAAGAATAAACTAAAAAGAGCTTGCATTTCAAATAAAATAGTAACCATTTTAAATGAAAATGCATTCATTCTGAAAAAAAAACAACAACACTGACAGTATTTTTACCACACACGGTATTTTTGGGATAGATTAGTATTTTTGCGACAGAATAGTGCTGTCAAACATTCAATAATAATTCGATGTATTTTATATATTTTTGACAATTGACAACCCTACAACAGATTGCCACGAAGAACAGAATTTTTTGTTGGCACATCGAAATTAATAAAATAAACACACTGCAACAGCCAGCGCATTTCGAATAAGTTGACGCAAGCAAACGATGGGTTCGAGTCACAGCATTCACGTGCCCGGCGGGGGCACAGAAGGTAACGTAACGTACACACGCGGAGGAGGACAGGACATGGACCACGTAAACCTTAAAAAGTTTGTCGTTCGGTCTCCCAATTAGAGATCGCACACACACGTACACGAACACGTACACGTAGACGGACAATATGCATACATGAGATCGTATAATAAACAAAAACCTCTTCTCATTATCGGCAGGTTACCACGTACTCAAAGTGCAAGACAACTCGCCGGGCCAGAAGGCCGGACTGGAGGCATTTTTCGACTTCATTGTGGCTATTGCCGGAACTCGACTGGACCAGGACAACGACATGCTTAAGGAGCTGCTGCGCCAGAATGTTGACAAGCCCGTCCGTCTCACTGTCTATTCGAGCAAAACGCAAACCGTGCGGGAGCTGACATTGACGCCAAGCACTAGCTGGGGCGGCCAGGGACTGCTGGGGGTGAGCATTCGGTTCTGTTCGTTCGAAGGGGCCAACGAGAGCGTCTGGCACATACTGGAGGTGCATCCCAATTCGCCCGCGGAGCTGGCCGGGCTCCGGGCGTACAGCGACTATGTGATTGGAGCGGATGCCATACGCCACGAGAACGACGACCTGTTCACGCTGATCGACACGCACGAGCAGCAGCCACTGAAAATGTACGTCTACAATCTGGACGACGACGCTTGTCGCGAGGTGACAATTAAGCCCAACACTGCCTGGGGCGGAGAGGGTGCCCTCGGCTGTGGCATTGGCTTTGGCTATCTGCATCGCATCCCGGTGCAGGCAGTCCCAGTACCAGCCGGTTCGGGCCCTGCCACTACTGCAGCGGAGGCCGCTCCACTGCTGCCGGGTGGAGGAGGAGGAGGAGGACATGCGCCTGCCCCTGTGGCAGTTGCCGGCTCTGCTGTCGTCTCACCAACGTTGCCTTACATACCGCCTCTGGCGAATACCTTTGGATCGACAAACGCCGAGATACGACCCCCAACCATTGAGCCGCCAGCCCAGAGCCTATTCAAGACATATTTCAATCCAGACGAAACAACAGACGCCCTCACCGCGGCGCTGGAGACGCAGGCCACCATTGCAGAGCCGCAGGCCCCTGGCAACATAGCTGCTCCAGCTCCTATTCCTGCTGCACTAATCTCTCATCCGCCACCCGCGACTGTGGCTGGACCTCTGCCTGGTGTCTTTGCTCCTCCTCCGCCTGCAGCAGCTCCCGTAGTTGAGGCTCAAGCGCAGTCTGTGCCACCACCAGCGAACATCTTCATACCTGGCGTCTATGATCCCAGCGCACAGCACAATGCGAGCGTGGCCCTCGGCGGAATACCGGCTGCCCAGCTGCCTTTCCCACAGGCAACGGCGGCGCCACCACAGCTGCCGCCCGCGGCCGTGCCAATGTTCTCCACACCACAACAGGCCTACATGTCGGCTCCGGCCGCTCTCTCCTATCCGGCTGCCCAGACGGTGCACTCGTATCCGCAAGTACAGCCCTCCATGGGCGGCCTGTTTCCCACGCAGCCAACGCCGCTGCCACCACAAATGGTCCATGTGTTCACCCCACCACAGGCGCAGGAACAGTCGCAGCCGTCCCCGTCCGGCAGCGAACAGCAGCAGCAGCAGCAGCAACAACCGGCAACAGCTCATGCTGGAAACTAAGACCACATCCACATCTGAGCGGCGCTGTGTTGACCAATTGGACAAATTGTCGTTAAGCTTTTATCTATCATCTGGTTATTTTGTATGATGGCGCGTATGATACCCAAGGCCACAAATGGAGCGGCAGAATGCTGACAGAAGCGATAAATATGTAAATGGCATTCGTAATATAATATAAATTAACTATTGTAATAAACAAATAATATACAAACAAAATCATTGTTTATTGTGTACTCATTATATGGGAGGGGAGTATCATGACTATGATGAGGGTTCGGGATGAGGGTCTTGTACAGATGCTTGTACCCACACCATATAATTTATATGTACCCGTTCCTGTTTGATCTGTGATCAAGAAGGTTTTCTCTTATCCGAATCAATACGAATATTAGAGCAGAAATTATTCCATTCTTGCTCAGAGCTTAGAAAGTCTTTCCATTTCGGCAAGCATTTCAGACATACGTTTCAGCTCTTTATTTAAGTTTTGTGTGTAGCATCGTCTAAGTAGATTGATCATCTTTGGGGAGATTCCCATGGCATGGAGCCATATAAACTTTCTATCCGCTCCAATAGTGAAGGACGCATAGACCTTGGCTCCTCTTTCTGCCAATTTCATATGGAAAATTGCTGTTAGGTTGTAGACCATATCCACGCTGGAAGATCTCTCCCAGAAATTGGTCTGGTAGTCATTGAGTCATTGTTTATGACTGCACCACTCGATCAGTCTGATTTGCGTTATTTTCAATAGAGTTTTGATTAAATCATTTGAAGAAACAATATTTGAGCAGAGGATCTGTTTCATATTGGACGCTGGAAGCTCTGACTTTATATTATTTGTCTTCGTTTTTTATTGGAGAAGTTTTCTGTTCTGGGGCATCCAGCAAATGTACATCTAATTGCAGACAGATGGGCAAATGATCAGATCCCTGTCTGGTACCACCTTTATCCTTTATTCGACAAAATATAACATCTTTTATATTTTTTCGATTGGAGACACAACTAAAATGCAGCAAGTTCAAATTGTGGTGGTTTTATATGGATAGATACTAATTGTTATCGACATTCGAATGTCGATTTGAGCACAGCTAAGGATCACCTCGATTCTCATGGCGTTTGGCAGCCCCACTGAGCACTTAAATAAATTTAGTATCCACAGAATAATTAGACGAGCTTTCTTTATTTGGTTGTCATGTTGTTTGAATGTTTCAGAAGCTACGCAAAGAATAAGCGTTTACTTCTTCAGGAAGGGGCTGACAATGGCGCGAGCAGCGTAGGTGGTGTACGCCGGTGCAGCCGCAGCATAGGATGTGTAAGCAGGAGCAGCAGCTGCGTACGTGGTCACAGGAGCCGCATAGGAGCGGACACCGTACACTGAAGAGGTGTAGGCTGGAGCAGCAGCAGCGTAGGTGGAGTAAGCTGGAGCAGCAGCAGCGTAGGTGGTATAAGCCGGAGCAGCAGCAGCATAGGTGATGGCGGGGCCAGCGGCATAGGTGGCAGCATAGGATGGAGCAGCAGCGTATGTGGCAACCGGAGAGGAAGCCAGGAAGCCAGCCTGGGCAACGGCGAAGGTGAGTGCCAAGCAGATGAGGAACTTCATGTTGAATTGTTTGGGTTGGTTGGTTGGTTTGTCAGTGACTGATGCTGTTTCCCAATCAGCTCGATCGTTTTATACACCCAATTGGTGGTGGGGTAGGCCTGCCTGTGACATTCCCAAACGGGTTTACGGCTTAGGCATTCCCAATAATAACAAGCGAAAATTAAATTAGAACACAATTGCGTCCGCATTGAATTTCTGCATGGTAACGTTCATTGAATGCGGATACCTGTGCCGCCGCGCCGCGCCGCGCCTTTGTGTGTGAGAACCCAGCGTCCGACGTTTGTTTTGCCGTGTCAAATGGATTACTTTTTTCCCCTCTTTTGGTTGAGGTTCGACTGCTGCAACGTACTCTGGTCTTGCTGACAAATAGACCATAGATTGAGCCGAGATTGCGCATCACTCTTATTAAATAGATGTAGATGAGTTTGGAATGATCCTTTGAACTCTCAAATACGCTTTTAACAGAAAATAAATATAAGACAATTTATTTACACATATTTAGTAACAACAACAACAATCCATTCAGATAAAGTTCACTTTCTGAAAATATATGATTAAGAGAAAAATAGCATAAGTAAATTATTTGTTCATTCAATGAGCTAAAAAGCTGTATTTTTGGAAAATGCACTCAAAAGAACTCTCGAATCGGTTGCAGAACTTATACTATGTGCAGCAAGGTACAAAGCCTGGTTAAAAAAATACATTAAACAAAATGATATAAACTATAATTTTGCATTTACTTTGGCCAGCATTGTTGCCTATTTGTGTGCTGTACAAAATGATAGTAAAGTAAAAGTAAAAGCCAAAAGCATGAGCTAAACTCATTGCAGGCACCTGGTCTGAAAGTATTTCTCATCGATGAAGCGACAGAACTCCACCAAATGCTTGAATTTTTGCACAGTCTGGGCGAGAGCCATATTGGGCAGCGTGGTGGTCAGTATGCTGAAGAGATGTCCAAAGGCAATGGCATCCAGTTCACAGGGCTGGTCGCCATAGAAGAAGGGCGTGTCGGGCGACTCTTTTAGTTTATATTCAAGCGTCTCGCAACATTTGGCCACTTTCTCAATGACATTGTCTATGTTGAGGTCGTCCCACTGATAGACCTTCAGCAGACGAAGCGCGTTGCGTCGCTTGCCATAGTTCTGCATGTGGTTCATGGGCCACGGATAGACACTGCCATTGCGTGGGGCTGTGACCTCCTTGTAGACGCGCTCGTTCTTAAAACTGATGTACAGCTCGGCCATGGTGAAGATGTTCTCCACCAGCGACACATATGTCCGCATATCGGCCTTCTCATCCTCGTCCTGCAGGTTCCCGATTGCCATCTCCTTCTGCTCTACAAAGTTGACGATTGGCTCGAATTCGGCCAAGATAAATGCCCCAGCTCGGATAAAGGGCAGCTTGGTCATGCGTCCACCCGGCGACATGTGCTCTGCATTCGAGCACGTCCTTACGTCAATCGGTAAGTTGCACATCTTCAGGTACGCCTTCACGGCCAGGCAACTGGCGTTCTCCGGCAATAAGATCTGCTCCACTTCGTAGGGCTAACACGCCAAGTAAGGGAAATTGGAGAAGATTGTATGAGGCTTATGATGGTTCACCTTTTGGGGCTTGGGTTGCCTACCTGGTATAGTGTGGCGTCTTCCGGCCATGGCTCCACGGACAGCTTGTTGGCGGTGGCGAGTTGGCTTAATAAAACGGATTGTTGCATTTTCCTCAATTTCCACACACAATTTCCACAGCACAGGCGATGAAGTAATCAACAACAGCTGTGTTTCGTGACACGGCGTGCTCTCACATACTATCGACATACGTTGTATATCAATAAATGGAGTCGACCGGTTGTCAGGCTTGCTCGCTTGCTTTATCAATAAATACTTTCTTCTCAATTATTAAATTATTTATATTATTATATAGAAATATATAATTTTTAGCCTTTGCAATTTTCGCTATGTGGCAGCCCTAACAGCTGTTTGAAATCGATATCGGTTTCAGCTAGAATCGTGACCATTCGCAACACTGTTTATTCACCGTCTTCGTTCTGTCTTGTTTCTGTGTTTTTTTGCGTTGTTTTTTGCTTTGTTTGCACATTAATATATTGAAAAATCATACAAATATCTTGGTTAGTTGTTTTTCACGTGACAGCCAGGAAGCGGTAAAGGAAACGGAAATTTGTACTTAATTTGCATATTTCAGAAGGTGAGTGCGTGTCTTTCGGTGCCGTGCCGCTTGTGTGTTGCCTTGAGTTCCTATGCATTGAAATAATATTCGAATTTAAATAAATGGCTCCTTATCTGCACACGCAAAGGCAGGCAACCACTCCCAAAAAATTTCCTTGCAAACACTCGAATGACGATTCATTTGCCGGCCTCTTCGTGTGTGTGTGTGTGTGTGTGTGAGTGCGCGCGTGTGATTCATACATATGTATGTACGTCTGGGTCTTAACATTTTTCTGGCCGTGCACATTTCTTTATCAAAACTGGGCATGGTTTTTACTTTTCCTTGAAATATCCCCAAACCACACCACACAAAGCAAGCGCGCGAGCAAGCAAGCAGTTTGACGGGGGGTCTAGGCAGCGTCCCTGCCGCTGCCCATGCCCCTGCATCGCTACTCTAGCAATTCATCTCTTGGAATTTTTGTTTAGAATCTGTTCTAGGCAGTACGGGATACATTTTCTACCTTAATTCGAAATCAGCTAAATATTTATTGTTTTATTTACATACATACTCGTATATATGCTTGGGAACAATATATAAATAAACTTTGATTATCTCGCAACAACATTAATAACATTTCCCATTCGCATGTAGTACGTTATGTACTTTGTTTCAATCCAAATCTGGAGAATGGAATACTATTATCGGTCCAACATGTATTGAAAATGGGCATAAACCGAGCGACGTGTATTTAGATAATGAAAAATAATGAAAAGCAAAAGCAAGATAATAAACTACCGCCAGAACATACTCGTCCCCATACATACATACATACATATGTACATATGCACATGTGCTTGTGTGGCCTGGAGGCGTCGGTCTGGTCGTATTCGCTTAACGCCCGTTCTGGTCAATATAATTCAATGCCGTTCTCCCCCTACCCCACCCGTACCCCTTCCATCAATCCGTGTGCCTTTTGCCTTATCTGCCTTGCCTTTGTGCGTCCGTATTTGGTTGGGACCTTTTTTTTCCTATACGGGGGGACATCTGCCAGCTGCAACCGCCCCCTCCACCTACCGTCTCTCGACGCCATCAGTTCATCAATGTGTTAATAATTGGAATTTAATCAATATTATCGAACTTGAATATCGAGTGGCTAACATTTGGTGGGAGCATTTTGATGAGAACTGAATGATAAAAGTCAATCAATTTTATCTGCTGGTCCTTTTGATCTCCAGGAACATACATACATATGTATGTAAATATTTACATTCATACACATATGTACACTTAAAACAAAACCATTATCGTGTCGACATGTTACTCACACTACTAACTAAAAATATCCCTATGACCCACATGACTCATTCAGATTGAGAGGAGAGTCAGAGAGTGTAAGAGAGGAGGCACTGAGAAATGCTAAACAAAAAACTCTCAACTAGGAAAAATCATGCGTAATTTTACCGATTTAAATGTATTCAATTGATAAATAAACAAAGAAAACTTTTATATGCAGAGAAAGCCATGGCCGAAACAGAGACGCAACACCGTCCCGACCATCATGATGAGGATGTGCACGATGTCAACTACCAAGCGCCGCCAGAGAAGACCATCGAGGAGATAATGGCCGCCGATCAGGAGGATGAGAGTTTGAGACGCTACAAGGAGGCCCTCCTGGGTGCAGCCCAGACCGAGAAGATTGTTGTTGGTAAGAGAGAGACAGAGAGCTATAAAACAAAGCCTAATTAATGCTAATCTAATTCTAATTCATCTCTAGAACCGAATGATCCCCGCAAGGTGATTGTGAAAAAGCTGGCCCTGGTTGTGGAAGGACGTGATGATATGGAATTGGATCTTACCGGTGACATTAGTCAGCTGAAAAAGCAGGTAAGCCCCAGTCATGACTGACCCATAAATGAAACCAATTTGACCTATTCATCTATTTCCGACAGCTCTTTGTGATCAAAGAAGGTGTTCAGTACAAGGTGCGCATTGATTTTCTTGTGCAACGCGAAATCGTTCACGGCCTTAAGTATGTGCAAAAAACCTCACGCTTTGGCATGCCCGGTAAGTGATTCGATTTTAATGGCTGTGTGGATTATTTATCTACAATAAGCAGAAAAGAGTTTCCTTCAAAGCGCACTGTTTTTTGTTTTCCGTTGAACGAGAATTTGGTTCATTGTACATGGCCAGTGTACACTGTGGTGTTCCGTGCACCTTTGGGTCTTCACACCCGTTTCTCGTGGCTACAAATCGTTAGCCGCCTGCCTTGTCCATAAAGGCATTAGTTCTTGATAGACTTTTGTCCGAGCTAGACCATAAGCTAGACATGGGGAATAGCACCTTCAATGGCACTAGCTTGCTGTGTGGAATTTTCAGTGTGCTCTATATTGTGTTTATTACGTTTGCCATATTTACCATAATCATGTGCTGAGCATAAAACATTTATCAATATGTCCCTTTGTCCTTTGTATGCCTTGCCCTTTTCTGTTTGGAAAATTAAATTGCCTTGCGTTAAGTTGTGGGTAAGATTTGTGGTTAAAAGTGTTTAAGAGATTGTTTTATTTTCGCGTGATTAATCAATTTATTTTTTCATTCTCCTAGTTGACAAAATGAAGCACATGGTGGGATCATATCCGCCGAAGAAGGAAATTCAGTTCTATTTGACGCCCGCCGAGGAGGCGCCCTCCGGCACATTGTCGCGCGGCACTTACTCGGTCAGCTCGATCTTCACGGATGATGACAAGCACATACATTTGGAATGGGACTGGACCTTTGAGATCAAAAAGGACTGGGCATAAAGCGGGAAAAACAAAACACCACACACAGAAACAAACACAACACACACACACACACATACCCTCAAGAAACACCCACATACACAGACAAACAGCATAAACTTGTGTGTGTTTTAGCCCCCGTCAAAATGTCATGTAATTAGTTTATTTTTTGTGTTTCAAAATTTTGTAAACGACAGTTTCTAAACAAAACAGTCAAGTATTTTTGTGAATGGTATTAGATTGAAACTACTATTTTTGTATCTAAAGAGTTAATGTAAAGCAAATGATAAGTATTTTTGATATCCAGTCGATATCCAATGGAATGTGTGTAAAAAAGAAGAGCAATTTTCGCCCTATGTCACTCACTAAGAGAGAGAGAGGAGAGATCCAGTCAATCCACTCAAGTCAAAACAAAACAAAACAAAAGTCAAGTCATCAGTCGGCCTCTGCATGCCATTGCATATGTCTAACATACCCCCTTCCAGCTAAATTCTAAAGAGAACTTTAAGAAAGTTTTATGCATTTTCAACATGTATTTAAATTTAATAAGAAGGAAAGATCCTTTTCTACTTTCCAACTGAAACTGAAAAGGGCAACCCATACCCAGATATGATCCATACAATCCATCAATTTGGACTGAAGCTGAATTACCTTACAATAATGCATTTGCTATCTGTAAAACCCACATAAAATGGGCATCCCACACTGAACTCTACTATATTCGTAACTGTATAACATAACTATTTCTGTGTATTTTTGTGTACAATGCTATATGCGAATGCAGCAGCAGAATGAGTGCAACTGAAGAGCAATAAAAGTAAAATATATTTAAATATATATGGCACACATTGTTGATGTATTTAATCACCATCCCCACCCTCAACACTTTACAATGCTTATCGGTTGACGTTGCCAAGAAGTAAACGTCATAATTTTTGTTGGTGGAAGTCAAAGGTACAAACTCGGATTACTCATACGCCGTGTGTGAGCATACCAACCATTTCTGTGGGGTGTACACTTGTGTGCTCTCTGTTTATATTCCGCTCAGGCAACATGTTGGCCAACTAAACTGTTGCTCTCGCCAGCGCGCAACATGTGGCCCAACACTCAAAGCAACCTCAACTGCAGGAAAGAATAACGAACCAAAATGAAATATTCAAACGCACATTTATCTTTAAATGAATGAATAAATAAATGGCCTGTTTGTAAATGGCGCGATTTGCCGAACAAAGAAGAAGCGCGGCATGTAAGAAAAACAGCAGTAATAATTTCAGAAAAAAACGCCTGAGGCACACCCAGTAGTGGGGGGAGAAACCTTTACGCCCTGTCAGACCATACCAAAAAGGTATCGCTTTAAATGTTTTCTTGGAAGAACATTTCTTATTTATTCTGTTGATTGTTTTCATTTCATTGTTCTTTGTTTTAAAGTGGGGAAAAGAGCACAAAATAATTCAAGAATCTTATACTTCTTAAAATCAAAAAGCTTGCTTTGAAGCAGAGCAGTGTTTTTCAATATTCACTGTTTAAGTTTTCCTTAGCAAAATACTAAATTTTAGAGTTAATTTCTGTGTTAAATGCAATCCATGAATGCTTACATTCACATTTGATTTGAGAGCAAGAGCACAGATTGAAGAGTTTCCGATTCCACTCGACTCGAAATAAAATGCCAATGCTGCTGTTCATCCCTGTCCATTGAGAACAGAATGATTGACAATCGGTCGGACGGATATCACTCGCTCCACCAGCTCCATATTGTTCATCCAATGCAATCCAGACACTGGATTTTGTGTCACTGTGACTGCCCTCTAGCCCGATGCTGGAAATTGTCCGCCCTCCATTATGGTCCATTGCATCCGGGCATAAAGTTCACCAGAATCCTGCAATAACAAAAAGAAACAGTAAAAAAAAAGGAAAACGCTGCAAAAAAAAAAACCGATTATAAAGTAGAAAATAAATGAAATCAAAAAGGAAACGAGACGCAACAGGCAATGTTCACGCACGCATGGCTGGGAAATGCATATGGCTGCGGCCTTGGCGTCCATTTTGTTGGCCTATTATCCTCGTATGCTCCTTTATTGGCAGCTGTTGCATTGAGACTGACCCATCCGCGGCACAGGAATGCCATAAAATACAGTGGATGTCAGATGACCCCACAAATTCTATAGAGCTGCAGAAAGTCTATATGTACGAGTTTATTACACATATTTTTCCATATGGTTGGTTAATGTGTTTTGGCTGAGTCCAGAGATAGATAGTCCAATGGAAAAAAAAGGGAATTTACCCTAAAACCATGAATTTTTCTAGTTGATAATTTAATTTCCAGCTTAGTTCTGTTAAGCCTATTTAAACTTAATTCAATCTAGCAAGGATTTGAGCAGCCTTTTTGCTAGCTTCTGTTGGTTTCTTATTTCGTATGCAGGACAGCATCCCACACTGCGGAACGTGCGAAAGTTGGACAACGTGGCGTATGATGAATTTCATTTAACGCCAGGATTCGATGTGGGGGCTGATAGTTGGAAAAGATAGAAAGCAGCTTATTGTTTTCGTTTCTATGATTGGATTTTCCCTAATATTCGTAAACAATTTATGAGTTAATTTTGGGATGGAGGGACAACTATTAATTATAATTAAATAGCTCAATACAGAACAGCAATAGTTGAATAAAAATTCTCTATCTATAGACTAGATAAATAGATGGGAAAGAGGCCATTACATTCTTTATGTCGGAATATACAAATACTCGTATTTTACCCATTTAACTGCCCGTTCCTCGGGGCCTTAAGCTCTGATGGCTTTAAGTCCCATTACTCTTTAAAAAGGCGTGCCATATCGTACGTCATCAGGCTGGGGGACTGGCCATCAGATTTCCGCGTGGCCAGCAGGACAACATTCAGAGTTCAGCCAATACACTGGCTGGCTGGCGTCGCTGCTGTCCCCCGTATAGCAAAAATAATTTGCGTTTATATTGAATTTGGTTTTTTGTTGTTGTCCTTTGTATATATGTATATTTTTTGTTGTGCCAGAGATTCATTCGAAGTTGGCAGGAAATTGCATGATTTGTGAATATATTTATTCAAATGGACTTGCGGTCGGTAGTCGGTGGCTCCTCATCTACATTTAAGGGGAGCCGACATTGATTTTTGGTATTAGCATTCCGAGTTTTTTCGTCTCCTGGGCCTACGATGAGGAGGAGAGGAGGATCCAGGTGAGAGAAGTTTCTGGCTTTGGGTACTTTATATTCCAGAATCAAACTCCGAATTTGAAGCAGTCTCTGGCTCCACATGAAAGAGGATTTCATTACTTGGAAGTTTGTTAATAATTTAACAACTCACCAGCAGCAGCAGCAGCGGCCTTCTGTTCTTTCTGGTTTGATGTGAGTCCCCCGAAAAATTTAATATTAATTCGGGTAATTTAACCCTTATTAGAAACTTCTCAGACTTTGAGTTGGAAAGTGTGAAGCCAGCGAATACAAAGCACACACATTCAGGATGCCTTCAGAGGATGAGGATGTCAACAAGCTGCTGCCACACTCAGATACACACCCATACATATTCCGTATATATACATTCAGAGCCACTTGATTGTCTAGGAAGGAGGGGCAGAGATCCTTTTCCTTTGCAAGGCACTGTATAGATGTGAATGTTGACTTTGCAGTTTTTACTGTTTTGTAATTAAGTGGAGCGCACTAATTAAAGAACATTTCGTAATTAGGCTTTATGTCGTGCCCCAAACTGACGGCTCACTCTACTACTATATACTTAGACCTGTCCCCTGTCGCAAGTGAGAGAAATTTAAAGCCATTTTTTGCCTTAGCTTGAAGCTGAAATTGTTTTTGCCCACCAACAGGAAAAGTTCAAGGGCGAGGTAAGGCCCCCAATTAAAAATGGATAAGAAAGTAACGTTAGTGTTAATATTGACTGGCATTGACTGACACTTAATAGCCGTTCATTAAAATATAATTTACCACTTTCAAGCAAGGCAACAGGAGGTGGCAACCTAGAACATTGATTTATGGATAAGGGAAATAGGTCACGGATCAACTGAGTGCAACACTGTACTTAAATAAATGCAATTAAATCAATTTAGTAAATCTGTTAGCGAATTAATTCCACAATCAATCCGAATTTGATGAGCGGAAACTCCACCCTTTGATAAATATACAAATATTGAAAACCGTAGGATCTATTATAAATTCAAAACCAACAAACAGCTAAGAGCTCTCCCACGCTCACGCCTACGTCTATCCCTCCCACGGCACCAACAACAGTTGCTCCTGGGGTTTGAGTAATTTTATTCGTCGCCTGAGCAGTGTCCTTCCGACCGACTTTCAAGCCAGAGCGCCGTGCGAAGGTAAACATGTTTTGATTTCGATCTGGTAATGTATTATGCATGCCAGAGACTTGGGGGAACAGAGACCCCAGACCAGAGCCACGCTGACGGTCGCTCCAGGTCAGGAGAGGTGGCCAAGGTGCCAAGGTGCCACCTTGACCTTGCGGACAGCCAATTACTAGCATATCGAGAGGCTTTAACGAATCTTCCATCTATTGGGTGGCCAGACAGCCCGTATCCCTATCCGTTTCAGCTGACAAAATTTATGCAAAGTCCATTTTGGTGCCTTCAATTAGTTAATTTGCCTTCATCTTTGGGTGTGCCCAGGGCTTAACGTATTCAAAATTGTCCCTTAATGGCGGCTGATACTTTAAGCCGGATTTTATTTTTGTTTATTCGTCAGCCGGAATTCCATTATTATTATTTATGCACATCCAAAATGCCACAGTAGGGGCTACCAACTCCATGGATATATTCTCTGAGGGATTACTGTTGATTGGGGACAGCAATGTGAGTCTTGGGAGCATGCCACATATTTGTTGGCTATTATTTTAATTATTTTAACTAATGAGAATTAAATTAATGCTGTAGAAAATAATTATATTCGAATTAAAGGAAATTCAATGCAAATAATTGCTCATGAATTGCATATCAAAATCGTATGGTGTGTGTGAAACCTTTTTTGATATTTAATCCCCACCATATAATGGCAGGCAAAATCAAGGCATAGACAGGCATACTGTCAAAGTTCATTACGTATACGCCTCGTGTTGTCAGTCGGAAATTGCACAAGTCAGCAAACATGCTGCAAACGATGTTCCCCCCACCACCACTTTGTGTAGGTGTTTGTGTGTGTGTGTGTGTGTCAACAGAGCAGTTCAAACATTATCCTACTCTCCGGCTAGATGGAACTGAACCTACCAGCTGAGCAAGAGGTAGAAGAAGGTGGGGAAACGAGTGCTGACAATATCCTGCTAAACTGAAATTAACAACGAACGGACTGGCAAACCCCTGGAACTGCTCAGTAACTAATTTAATTCCAGGAAATTGAGGTTGAAGTGGACTTGGGCGGGGTGGGGGTGTCAATTGCATTAGCTGCACTTCGAACTTTTGTGATATGGAGCCTCAACATGGCATGGAAAAACAACGGCTGCTCTCAATTAAAATTAATCAGTTTTCATTAGATCGAAAGTGGAATGTTGAGGCAAGATAACAGCTGGATAACACTCTAAAGTGGCATTTGATATTAAAGAAGTCTCTAAACCAACTGATCCTACCATTTTGTATTGATTGTTGGTCTCTTTTCTTTCTACCTCTCTGTTTTGTTGCTTTTGCTTTGGCTTTGCTCTCTCTCTCTCTCTCGCCGCCTCTCGCAAG